TTTATAGGATAATTAGGTTATAATATGGAAAACTATAACAAGCATAGTTTGACATGAAAATGGAAATACTATTTAGAGGAAAATGACTTTGTTCAATTTGTGTTAATGTCACCAACCACTACGTGTGTCATGGAAGACCTAATATCAAAATAAATAAATAAATATTATTATATAAAATTAATATTATCACTCTTCCAAATGAAGCAAAGACTTAGACATCTCAACCATTTCCTTTTTCTTTTTCTTTTCATGCTAATCTTTCTTCTATTTGTCTGCTTTCTTCTTCTTTCTCTTGTATTCTCACCTATATATTCATCTTCTCAAGGCAATACTAGCACTACTATCTTCTAGCTAATCCACTTCATTTCTTCATTCTATAATTTGCTTTTGATCGTCGATTGCAAACAAGTTGAACATCAACAAGCTATTGGTTGATTCATCTCAGGGTGAATGTTAGAGGTGAAAGATGTAGATTTCTTCATTATCCATCAATGATTTTTGTTTGTTGTTTTGAAATTTTCTTTTTCTGTTTTTTGATTGATTAGTGATGATGATGTTGGAATGGCTCAATCAAATCAAATCTCCCAAGGGCTTGGGTCCTTTAGTTTGATTGAGCCGTGCCAATATCAAAGTCTCTTTGTGACGTTACTTATTATTGATTATGAGCCAAACTCTGCTTGTCTTTTTTCCAAGTTTATGGTATTTTTGTTTTTTGAATATATACATAACGAGCAACCTATTATATGATGCTAAATGCCAATTACGGTTGTTACTTTTTGGAATAACTATTATAGCTTCCCAAAACACCAGATTAATTATGTGCACACATATAGGGAGCTACATGCTTACGAGGTTCAAAAAATAAAGAAAATAATAAGCAAATTGCAAAATACTATTGATTTATAGTGTACCAGACTCAAGTGATAATTAATGTGATTTTAAGATTTATGGGTGTGTAGATTATTAATCAGTGATCATTATTATTGTGGTGTCCCAAACTCATAGTTTGTGTGGTGTTAGGGTTTAGGGTGTGTGGATTATTAATTGGTGATCATCATCATGCACGGTTGATGGTGCAATTATCATGTATGCATGCGGGCAATATCATGTCTATACTCAAACATCATGGTTGATAATGAAATAGATCAAATAAACCCTTGATCGCTGCATTATATGCTACGATGGGTGACTTTCAATAACAAATAATAATATGGATCAAGTTTGTTTCCAGTCCCATCTAAAAGAAAAATTTGTCTGCAATTCAAAACCTAAATCAGACGTGTTGTTTGAATTCGTAGTAGGACTTACTACGAATTTTGTCGTGATGATTCAAACTACTTTTATAAGATCTTGTGTTTATATCATTCATAAAGATAAATTAGATCAATTTGACAACCATTAATTTTATTGTGTTTGTCTCCAAATAAATGAACGACAATTGTGGTTTTGAAAATAAATTATTTATTTTTTTAGAGATAAATGCGATAAAATGAAGAGGCTACAATTATTGAATTGACCTAAAAAATTTCATGTATAATACAAACACAAAGTTCTACGAAATAAATTACTCAAATCATCAAAATGAATTCAGGGACCCCATGGGTCTGAACAACACCTCTGATTCAGACTTTAGATTGGGAACAAGCCCACCCAATCCTAATAACAACTATATAATAGGATTGATGTGTGCTAACCACGCTATTAAATTTTGTTATATATATAGTGGACCATTTAAAAGTCAATCTTCTCTTAATAAGTGGCTTACGAAATAAAAATTAGAAAGTCATAAAGTAGTAAATAATTAACTCTTGACTAATACATTAAACCCCACTAATGTGCCTAATGAAACCAATTTACTAGTTCAGTTCACTTGGTCACTTCTATATACTTTTATCTGAAGTTAAGAGGGTTTAATTATTGCCAAAAAAATTATTTTAGGTTTATGGTTTATTCTCCTATTTTGCCATTTTTCTTGTAGTAATGGTTAGACATGTAATTTTATATTGTTGGATTATAATGGTCTAATTTGATATAATTTTTTTTTTTATATTTATAATTGATTTCCTATTGAGTGATGCGCGCGTGCGCACACACAAGAAGAAGAAGAAGAAGAATTCCTCCTCAATTATCTTTATCATTTGTAAAGTGATTACCTTTTCATTATATGCGGGGGCATGTTGCTTTGGTTGATTTTACAACTGTCTAAAGGGTCATTACCCTTTGATTTAATTTAACATTATCTTTATCATTTGTAAAGTGAGTCCCCTTTTTTGTAAGTATAAATAAATAAATAATTTGTTTGGTTTTTTATTATTTATTGTTATATGTGTGAACCATGTTGCTTTGGTTGATTTTAAAACTGTTTTGTATTCTCTTCCAAAAAGCAAAGAAGCTAGTACATGGAGAGAATTTACAGAATAGTTTTTTATTTATTTTTTATTTTTTATTATATCGGCAAAAGTCAGTTATTAATTGTTAAATTAATAACTATGAGAATTAACCTCTCCACCCTTTGCAAAGTACCAAGTGTTTGCCTCTTTTATTCAAGATCAGTTGAACCCATAACCTCTCCCTAGAAACTAAGTCCTTAAGAAAGTGACAGTGGTCAACTAGGCTATGCTTAGTTGGTTAATTTACAGAATAGCTTATAGAAAATATAATGGAAGATTGTGATTAAACCTAGTTATGGAGGTGCCCACATTCAGAATAATTCTCAATCTAACATTACACTTTATGTGATTCATTATGTACTTTAATTATTTGTTCTTAGTGTTAGTGATACCCATATTACTTTATTTGGTATAGAATAGTCACTACAAGAAAAATCATTTTTCGCAACATATGAAATTGTCATCAAAAGACAAAATTTTGTTGCTAAAATTTTTTTGTGACAATCATAAAGTCGTCACCAAGGTTGTGGCCAAAGGATTGTTGCAGAAAGTTTTGGCAACAAAATGACTGCAATAAAATTCACTCTGGACCAACACTAAAATGACTACAACACCTTCTTTTCTCTCACCTTTCTTTTCACTCTCTTCAAAAATCTTAACCACTTGCAAAAATCACTTCCAACCAACACTTTCCTGGTGTTGGCATCCCCTCCCCCTCCTAATGGTTCGTGCAATTGTAGAGATAGAAAATTTTAAGTCTAGTTTTGTTTTGATGAAGGGAAGATGTCTTTAATTGAAAGACAAGAAGCGTGTAATGAATGTACACTTGATCCTTCCTAAAAGATGTCATAATGATTTTAGTTGAAGAGGCGTTGCTAAAAGGGCAGGGAAGGGTGGTCTATAATGGCGTTTCTTGAAATGTCCATTTTTTAAAACGTCATTAGGCCATTTTTCAACCTTCTTTTGTTTCTTTTTCTTTTTTTGCACATGGCTTCTCTTGTAGAGTATAGTTGGTTGTGAGAGAAGTTGTTGTCTCACATTGGTTGGGAATATAACATCTTGTCTCACACATTGGTTAGATAGAAAGTGACGCTTTTTAGTAACACTACCTTTTAAAGCCATGAGGGTGTAGTGCAAAGCAAATATTTTCGCAATTTGGGATACAAGTGTCATAGTTGGTACCAAGGTAGGACCTCATCAACAGTGTAAGCAATATGGGTTGGGTGTTTGAGCTCACATAGTCTTGGCAGCTGCTGTCTACTACTGGTTTTCTGCAGTATGGGTTGGGTGTTTTGATCTGCTGGTCTGCCTTGCTCCGTGGCCTGCACCAGTAGCTGGAGTGGATGTAATTTAACTGGCATGAAAGGTTCAGTGAGGTTGATGGAAGCTATTGTCATGCAAGGTTCATTGCTGGTGCATTACTGCTGTGAGGAATGGTCCATTACTGGCATGAAAGGTTCTATTTTGCTGTTTGGAATGGTCTGTCTGCTGTGGTCTGTCTGGTATCTGTCTGATTTAATTTTTCTGGTTTTTGCCTTTGCTTTGCGCGTTGGTTTCTCACCAACTTGGAGGTTGGAGCTTGTTATAGCTCCAAGCTCCTCTTTACTGATGTAAATTTTTTCCATCAATAAAGTCTCTTTTTGCCGATCAAAAAAAAAAAAAACAGTGTAAGCAATCGATCCTATTGAATCCCATGAGCAGAAGCGGAAGTACATGCTGGGCAGTAAAAGGTTGCAACATAGTGGTGTCTTACATACTCAAGCTTTTGATGTGAGATGAGATCGTTACACGCAACACTGGGAGTTTCATAGCCCCTTTCATGACTGGAGAGGAACCGGACCCCCTTTTTTTTTTTGATAATGGATGGCCCTCCCATCTAAAGCCCTTGTTCTTTTCAATAATATCTGTTTTGTTCCAAGTCACGTATGGTCTGCCAACAAAAAAGGAAGTCTCATCTCACGAAAATTTTAAGTCTAGTTTTGTTTTGATGAAGGGAAGATGTCTTTAATTGAAAGATAAGAAGCGTGTAATGAATGTACACTTGATCCTTCCTAAAAGATGTCATAATGATTTTAGTTGAAGAGGCGTTGCTAAAAAGGGCAGGGAAGGGTGGTCTATAATGGCGTTTCTTGAAATGTCCATTTTTTAAAACGTCATTAGGCCATTTTTCATCCTTCTTTTGTTTCTTTTTCTTTTTTGCACATGGCTTCTCTTGTAGAGTATAGTTGGTTGTGAGAGAAGTTGTTGTCTCACATTGGTTGGGAATATAACATCTTGTCTCACACATTGGTTAGATAGAAAGTGACGCTTTTTAGTAACACTACCTTTTAAAGCCATGAGGGTGTAGTACAAAGCAAATATTTTCGCAATTTGGGATACAAGTGTCATAGTTGGTACCAAGGTAGGACCTCATCAACAGTGTAAGCAATCGATCCTATTGAATCCCATGAGCAGAAGCGGAAGTACATGCTGGGCAGTAAAAGGTTGCAACATAGTGGTGTCTTACATACTCAAGCTTTTGATGTGAGATGAGATCGTTACACGCAACACTGTGAGTTTCATAGCCCCTTTCATGACTGGAGAGGAACCGGGCCCCCTTTTTTTTTTGACAATGGATGGCCCTCCCATCTAAAGCCCTTGTTCTTTTCAATAATATCTGTTTTGTTCCAAGTCACGTATGGTCTGCCAACAAAAAAAGAAGTCTCATCTCACATAGAACATGTACATATGGTAACACAAGAAGCCTTGATGAATTTTGAACCACTTGCCAATAAAGATAAAACCAAAATGCATAGAAACAAAAATGTGAGGCCACACCTTGGATCAACCAAAGGCCAGTTATACACCTTCTAACACTTAAGACTAAAAAACATGCCACAACATGCTTCTACTTTGTTTACTCAACATCAAACCCTTTCTCTTGCAGCTCCGAAAGGATTTCATTTCTCATCCTAATCCACAGCTTCAGAGCTTCTTGCTCGAACTTCTTGTCCTGCAACTCCTTCTGATAATTGTACGAGTCTTTATCCGATTCAATGACACCTTTTGGACCTATTGTCGTGCCGATCATGCCACCCTTGGCAACAAACTCCTTCATCGCCTCCTCGTCGCCAGGGTATGGAAACTTTCGCTGCCCAATTTTGATGATGATAAAAAAAAAAAAATCATTCATGTGATGATTTGAAATATGCTGGTTGATTCACTGTATGATAACGGAGATGATAAATATTTAAGATCTTACCTGTTTTGGCTTCTTGAAATAGTTTGCGAACCATTGGGCTTAGGTGAGATAACTGGTGATGATATATATGTTCGAAGAAGGAAGGGGTAAATTGGGTATATGCCCAACCAGTTAATAAAGGAATTATTGGGTGTTTCAGGAATTTTCTAGGTTGTGTATTTATAAGATAAAAGTGATTGCTTGTTGTAGTTAGGTTGTGGATGGATCTATGTGATAATTTTTTTTTTAAATGACATATATAGATAATTAAGCGATAAATACTTGGCACTATTATGTTAAAAGTCTAGTGGGGCCGCCTTCATTTTTAAAAGTATTGCACATTGTAAGTTTTTGTTTTTGCATTTCAGACTTAAAAACGTTTTTACTCACTTATTAAACAAGTTTAAAATTCTTACTCGAACTAATTTAGATACATAACAAATTGAGCCGAGTTAAACTGAGCTAAACTCACAATCAACGCAAATGTCTTGGTTGATTTGCAATCCTCAACCCACGTATTCTAATCATAATTGCATCGATTTGTTTATTTATTTTATTTCAGTTATAACAAACACTATATTAAATTAAAATTTTAAAAATAAAAATTTAGGTACAGAGGGAGAAAATTTTGTGTGATGTAACATTGCTCCTTGTTTATCCTATCTATTTATTTTTAAATATCCCAAAATATTTGCTCTTCTAAAAAGTCAAAATGTAAAAATTTGTATTTGCCAAACCTATCCTTCATAAATGATTTGGGATGGGCTAAAATAGCTAATCCCAGAATAAAATAGTTAGTAAACAAAATATTTTATCATATCACTATTTTTATTTTTTTTATATCTTTTTGTAAAAAGTTAAATAGTCAACTAAAATAACATATTCACAAACGGAGCCTGAGGCCTCGTTTAAGAATAGAGTATTTTAATAACTTTTTAATTTTTTATGAAAAGATATACAGAAAAATAGAAAGTAATGTGATAACTTATAATGATTTTTTTTAATCCCCAAATGAGGCCTTGATAGTGAGGAATAAAAGGAATTTTTTAATTTGAATTTAAATGCATTAATTATACATTCCCTTACAAAGTTAAAACTCCAACATCATAAAACAGAGAGAATATATTGATATATTTCTTTACCACAATTTTTTTTAATTTGTTTTTAAATTAAAATCGAACATTATAAAACGGAGAAAATATATTGATATATTTCTTTATCACAATTTTTTAAAATTTGTTTTTAAATTAAATTGGAACAACAGTTCCAACTCCAACCCATCCCAATTTATTTGGATTGGGTTAGATTGGTTTCAAGGGACGATTAGTTCAATTCCGGGTTTTTTTTTTATACAAAAAAAAAGATAAATTATAAATACATTTCTTAATATTTATTTAAAATACAAATTATCCATTGTGATTTTAAAAATTACACATCGCCCTTTGAAGTATCTAATTTTATAATAAATAACTCATTTTATTAATAATTAATCAAATCAATTAATAATTAATAATTTTAATAATGTAAAAAATTTATTTCAATTAATAATTCAAGTAATTTTATTGTTAGATAAAAGAACAATTAAAAATTTTATTTTTTAATTAATTTTATTAAATAAAAAGTTCTAACAAATGAGTATATATAATTTCCAAACCAAATATATATTTTAAACAAATTTCAAAAAGTGTATTTGTAATTTACCCAAAAACATATAACCAACCAAAATTGATTTTTACCCTGAATCATGCCCACTCCCCTACAAAGTTTTCCTTGAACACCTATTATATATGCATGATAAATTTTGTAATTTAAAAGAGAGAACGAGTGAAGAGATAAAATATAAAAAAAAAAGTTCCACAAACGAAACCCTATTTAAGATTGTTTCTCATAATTGTAACTAAACAAAGCCTAATGCTGTGTTTGGTTAGAGGATTTGGGGAGGAATTTGGAAAAGAAAAGGAAAAATGTATGTGAAACTATGTGAAGTTTAGGCATATTTTATTCTCATTCACCTACTTTTTCCATTTTCCTTTCCAAATCCCTCCTCAAATCTCCCAACCAAACACAGCATAAATGTGTGATTAGAAACACTATCAAATTACAGAACATAATTTTTCTCCAATTCACGGATCATTATTATGACCCCTGTAAGCATCAAAGTTTTACAAGTTTCGAAACCAGTATTGTTCCATTCCATGTCAATGTACACTTAGCAAGTGAGAGAGATACCCTATACAACCAGCCAGATGTATCCGAGTTGCATTTGAAAACATCCAGTAAACCATGAGAACGATCTAATGTTCTGGCTGTGACAGAGTGTATGACATTACCAGGTAAACACTACTATACGCGTGAAGACAACATCGAATGGAGCTTTGTTCTTGAGCTTCTTCTTCTTCATATAAGCTTTTAGAGCCACGTCCAATTTCCCCACAAGAAAACATTCCCGCCAAAGGAACGCCAGCAAAGTTCTCCAAAAATGGGGCGCTATCAACATTGGGACAGCCAAAGAATTCCTCACCACGGCCACAGCATGCGAAGATCATACCTCCAAAAACGTCCTTATTGCCACCCCTCACGTTTTGGCTTCTATGATCCCAATCTTGTTTGAAGAGTCTGAATTTTTCAGAGACCTTGCTAGAAGAAGATGAAGCAGAACTAGGATCTGGATAATAGAATCGAAAGGTATCACCAGTTTTGATGCCGTTGTTAGAGACAAATAGGTACTCTTCATCTCCACTGTGGAAAACCAAATGATTTCAAATCAGAGAAGCCAAGGAATAAGTAAATGACCAAAAACACGCATGTATGCGAAACAATACAGCTTATCTGTAAAGAGAGAAGCAGCACTCAACTTGAGACAAACTATTCATTTTCTAATATCAGTCTACAACAGATCATCGCTAAAAGACTGGGTAAGCCATTGTCCTATACCAACCAGCCTTGAGAAATGCAAATACAATCTTATTCATGTCCATAATTGCAAACATTTGTCCTTAAATTGTCTTTTATTCTATCAGTTAGCAATATCATATCATACACAAAACAACTAGAAGAAAAACACTAATGGGTTATCTCTTCTCAGAAGAATCTTGTGGTGCTCAATCACAATCGAAGTCCTTAACATTGGCTAGGATTTCCATTTCAGCTTTTAACAATTGGCCATTATAGTTATCAAGTCTAAGGTATGTCCTTCCAACAGCTAAAATGCATAGGGTTGGAGTCAATGAATATGACAGGTTGATTATGAAAATAATAATAATAGAATGCACTGCACTGCAGCATCAAGTACTAGTGTACTCAATATTTTCTTCAATGATGCCAAGATAATAAGAGAGGTTGTGCAAGAGTCGAGTACCTATTTTATGAAAATTGTTTCATGATCACAAAAACAGTGGGAAAAAACGAAGACAGCAATAAGAAAAATATGTGACACAAGGTTTATGAAGACTTTTCCAGAAAATTTCCCCCAAATAGCCCATTTTCAGGAAATTCATCTCAATAGTATTTAGTGTTTGCACACATTGCGGTTCCTAGAGAAATGAAAGCAATTGGGTTTTGTAAGTTTTGGTTGTTTCCAATGTCAAAAACTAAAGAAATGAAAACAGAAAACAACGAAAAACATGCGAAACAGGCCTTTATGGACCAGGGTAAATTTCCCAGTATTCAGTTCAAAACATGCCGCCCATTTGCTTCTATAAAACTATGTTGCTCCACAAATACACTTTCTTAGACAATTCTTGGGCTTCCTTTTTTCTTTTCTTTTTTTCCATGCTTTCACTCATGTCCAAACTGAGACTTGAGGCCTGCACTCACTTTGGATATTGTAAAACATATTAACTAAGCTATTATAGCTGGTGGTGTGACTACTCTTACAATCTGCTTCTTAAATGCTTCCAACATTTAGGCAGTGTTTGGTTGGAGGATTTGGGAAGGGAAAGGGAAAAGATAGGTGAAATGCGAATAAAATATATTTACATTTCACCTAGTTTCACACATTTTTTCCCTTTCCTTTTCCAAATCCCTCAACTAAACACAGCCTTAGAAATATTGACGTTCTTATTCACTTCTTGAACAACCACCAATGACTTCCTAAATTCACTGCTTCCCAGTCCCAACTTGCTTCCACTATTCCCAAAGCATTTCCTCTCTCTTCCTAGAAAGCTCTAGAGATTTTTAAGCCCCATATACAAATTTCATGTAACTTCAACCAATTTTGAACTAATCCTAAATACTCCACATAAAAATAGATTGATCACACGAAAGAAGAAAAGAGAAAGAAAAAAAGTCACTTGCAGAGTTTTGCAGACCCCGATAGGTGCTATGTCACTGGCAAATTTTGTTTTCTGCATGAAAGAAAATGTAGCCTGCAGACACTTCAACTTCTATGGCACCATAATGAGAATAGAATTTCATTTGGCAGCCCATGAATTATTCAAACATTAGAAAATTGTAGCATGTGTTCGTCATCCAGTAGAACAACTAAACAATATGAGCCATTTTAAAAATATTACTGCAAATGTTCGACAAACCAAAAAATGCAGAATACAAATGAGAAGGAAGTTAACTTACCCTGTTACTTCATGGAATACCAAGGATGTTACCAATTTCACCTTCTCCAAACCCACAGAGCATTTCCTTCTTTTCGTGACCCCGATGTAGAAAAAAGGATACTCAATACGATCCCCTAGCTGCCACAAAACCCATTGCTCCATTAAGGAAGCACACAAACATTTTAACGTAAAATAAGCATATAAATAAACAATTGACGATCAGTCTCCAACATATTCATATGCATAGACTGATCCAATTTTGGGAAAAACATATAATAAGAGAGAGAAAAGAAAAAAAAAAAGAGGACCATCCATACTTCAAAGGAAAAGCAAGCACATAATAAGGGAAAAGAAAAGATTAAGCCCCAATATTCTAGAAACAGGAACTGAAAGGATAAAAGTTAAAAGGAGGTTTTTTTATTTTTTTATTTTTAATCTCCTCATTTATATAACAGAGAGGATAGCATCAATATTGATTGCTCAAAAGATTGCAAAAGCCTCAATATTTGATGGTAGCCTTCCTACAAAATTCTAAGAAAGAATTTTAATCTAAAATGCAACACTTATCTAAAAACACAATTGATACACCACAAGCCTATTTAACGTAATGTATCAATTTCAGAGATCTGCAAAACCAACTAAACGATCAACTCTAAGCCGTGTTCCAGACAAGAAAAACACCAAGTGATCTGGCTCATTCTTTAAAGGGGTAACAGGAACCGTGACAAACCATCAACAAATTTAACCAAAATAATCTCCCAAAGGAGAAATTAGACGAGACAAATTAACAAATCGCATCTCATGGTATAAGCACATTTCTGAACATCAATCTATCAAAAACTTGTTCAAACAGAATAATCCACTAAACTCCGGTTCACAAAAATTAAAAGAATTTTAAGTTCACCAAAGTGAAAAATTAGCATACTTCATGGTTGATGTCATTTATCATAGTTTCACCATCAAGGATGTCATGAAGTTCTTCTCTTCTTGCAGTGAGCCATGTAGAACACTCCTCACGGCTTTCTCTAACAGCAACTGCTTTAAATGTCGGGCCTATTGGTAACATACCAGTAGATAATACACAATGGAATTCAATATCCCCTATACCTGCTTATGAGACCAAAGCAAAAGATGTTAGGTAATAAATCAATAACCATAAATATAAATTAACAGTAAATAAAGGTAAACTGAAGCACTCGGTAACAAAAAAAGTACATGTAGTCATATTATATGTAACAATAGTTAAGGACAAAAGAGCATAGAGAATGACAGGAGCACTTAGGATAGTCATATTATATGTAACAATACTAAGAAACTTTTCATCACCTAGAGAATATCAAGCACGGCTAGCATAACAAGTATAGAAAATACAGAGAAAGGCCTCCAAACATAGTGTGAAGAACAATCAGAGCAGAGAAAAAAGGGGTCATTTAAAGTAAATATGAGCAGATCAGAATGCATGAAAGTTGCTGCCTAGTACATCTTAAGAAAATGTGTTAAGAGACATGCCAGAAGCTCCTGGAGCAACAGACAATCAAAGGAAACAGTCAAGCATACTTGTCAGTAATAGGAATTAACAGGCATCTAAATCACAGAGAGCCAACTTATAACCAAAAACAAAAATGCCTTTCCTTTGGCAGGGCATTCAAAAAAATCTGAAAGCAAATTGCTACTGTCATATAATGCAACGTCTTGAATTTGGACAAGTGCCATAATTTCATAAAATTATACTTCGAAGCTCCAGACAACTCAAAGCCCTAAATCTAACATCCGCTGAAATAAAACATTTGGAGTTGCATAATATATGGTACTAGAAAATGGGCTCAGAATATCTCAACAATAATGTTGGAATTTCTTCAGTCCAGATGATGACGATTATAACCATACATTCAACAGACAACACTAGACACTCGTACTCCCATCATTTTTGGCTTGTTGCCAATTGACAACTATCTTCATCGTCTCTCTTATTTTTTCTTCGAGGACTTGCTCAAGTTGTTTATAATGCTAGTTTACTTTTCTTGTAAGTGTTCATGTTGGCTATTGAGAGAAAAATAAGTTTCAGATGCCATATGCAAAATGTTGTACCATGAGGCTTGTTCCTATCCCGCACAAACGTCAGGGCCACGCCAACAGAACTGTTCTTTCGACTCCTAGTGGCGTTTCCAGTATCACCTGGTCTTTTGTGTAGAAAACGGCCATTTTCATCACCCACAATGACAGTCTCCAAAGACATGGCATAATCTGCAATTTACAAGAAATAAACAAGTATAATTAACCATGTTTGGAAGTATGGATCCTAATAATAGATAGCATCAACTTTAAGTTCCTTAAGTACAGTGTATTAAAAAACCTACAGAGCAATTTATCAAGAAAAACAAAGAACGATATAAATAATAAATTGTTGAGAGTGTAGGTGCGGCACGCTTTATCCAAGTGTTTGTTTCATTTGTAGTTTCATGGAGTATGTAAAAAGTTTGGTTGATGCCAAGACTTGGCAGTTCTTTTCCATTAAAGGGAAAAGGGATGGAAGCATATGAAAGGGTGTTTGTGAATGTTTGCATTGCACATATATCTGGTTTTGTACGTGTGTGTGCATGCACGTGTGCATGCTTGTGTGCACACATGAAAGTTGAAACAATACTCACCCATTTTATCAAGAACAGGTTTCATATCAGTTGTTGAACCCTAGCACATCATTCATGTCACATGTTAGAAATGCACAAAGAACTGAACTGCACTAGAAGAAACAAAAAGATGGGATGCAAATCAAAACAAAGGCATAGCAGAAGAACATTAACTTACTCCAAACATAATAATCCCAGCAGGTGATGTACAACCCGAAACAGAGGCTGTATACTCCCTAATATCCATCACAAATTGGTCGACCATGAGCACCTGAGGACACTGATCTTATAGAGCAATCTCCAGTCAATTTCTTAATGAAATTAATCTGTACAAAGAATTAAAAGAACTCCACATAACCCAACCCAATATTATAGAAAACGCTAATACCCTATTGAATTATGTTTTAGAAAGCACGTTCCAAAACATGGTGTACACTTTTGGTCCAAAATAGTAAAATTAGCGACCACAAAAGTTTTTTCCAATATATTTTCTAATGCTTTCCTCAGGAGTAAAAAAATCAAATATAATGTAATAAAATTTAAGGTGAGTGAGGTTTTGACACGAGAAGACTTTTAAAAATTGGCCAATTTACAGAAGAAAACTTTTCAAAAATGGTCAATGCTCAATTGGTCGTAGAAATGTGTTGCTATGTGATTACTTTGGAAAAAAAGAAAAAACTACATTTTATTGGATGTCAATTTGTTAACAAAAAATTACTCTAAAAGTATCTTAATTCTTATAGTGTAATACTTACCCATTCTTATAGTGTAATCTATATAAGTCTACCCCCACAATACCAAATTTTAGAGCAGGAACAATCCACATTCCAGTGAACATACAGACCCAACCACTGGAAAATTACCACACACACACACACAAAAATGAAAATAAATTAAAATTAAAAAAAAAAAATTGCCAGAAAAAAAAGGCAAAAATCAAATTACATTCAGTTGCCTTATTTACTTATTTTTTGACAAGACCTTTCAGTTACTTTACGTGACAATAATAAACCCCAAACCTACAAAAACCATGTCGTTGTGATGAAAGCTCTTTTCTATTCCTCCAGCATGGAATTTTAAACTAAATTCAATTCCATAATACATAAGAACAACTTTCCAGGATTTAAATACAGAATTTTTACCTCAATTGATTGTAACAGCGGAATAGCATCAACCTTTAATCCAGGTAAAAATCCAACAGTCAACAAGATTCCATGAGTTACAACCGAGGATGGGGATAAATTATCAACTTGAGCACCAGGATCATCTTGGACAGTTAAGTCCCACTGAACCTGGGCAGATTTATGAAGAATAGGAATACATAAGAATTAGCAATTAAATAAAGGAGATATAATCCATAGCAATATATATAATAGATATCAAACCTCTTTGAATTTATTAGTAAGTGCATCTCTTCCAATTATTCCCCTGGACTCGTACGTAACAACAGGAGTTGTGGAGCCAAGTTTTTCTGTAATCTGCATTGTTACTCTTCATCAAACCAAAAGCAGCGCATGCAAAATAAATAAACATATAATTTTATTACGTATAAGAGCATTCTCCAATCCTTTCATCAAATTCAAATTTGATCAGTAAAGAGCTAAAAGTGGGCTCCAATCATTTCATAAACTTGTATCAAATCAATGGATAGACAAATTTCCACCAAATCAAGGTTAAACCAAATCCTTTCACCAATTTCCAACAGTCAGTCGTATCTATACTCAAATTTTATTAAGTTTTATAAAGAGTAAGGATTGGAGATGATTTTCTTTCATCAAAAACTGGTTAAAACAAGATTTAGAATAAGTTTGGAATATTTCAAAAAGATTTGATGAAAAAGAGAGAGTAAGCATCTCCAATCTTTCACCAAATCCATATCAAATTTAAATTTGGTGAAAATGAAGTCAAATCCTTTCATCAAACTTGTATTAAATCAAGAAAGAAGCAAATTTTTCATCAAATCAAGGATGAACCAAATCTTTCACTAGATTTCCAACAGGCCTTTTTTCATTTAAATTTGATGAAATTGTTAAAAGATGAAGTATTGGAGCTGAGTATTTTTCACAAAAATTGATGAAAAGTGAAATTTGGGATGAGAAAGAAATTTTTTAAAAGATTTTGCTGAAAGGATTAGAGTAGTTGACATCAAATCAATCTTTTTAGATCGTCTCCAACCCAACACCAAATGTTTCATCAAATTTAAATTTGATGAAAAAACCTACCTTTCGCTGCTCCAACCCAGCACCAAATGTTTCATCAAATCCATGATTTCTCAAATGTTTCATCAGATTGAGGATGGATTTGCCTTTCATCAAATCACTATTTACAGCCGTTGGTTTCCACCACCGGACGACTAGCCAGATGTCTGGATGGTTGTCTCCCGGAAGACCACCTCTTTGTAAACATTTGTGAAAAAATTACACTAGCCGGTCGACTAGCCGGTTGTCTCCCAGGTCGTCCTCCCGGTCAACCGATGATTTGATGAAATTTCAAATCACTCCGTTGGAACACGCAATATCAAATCAAACTTTTTTTATCAAATTTAAGTAAAATTTGATGAAAATTTTGAGTAAAGCATTAGAGATGCTCTTATTCAAATTTGGAATCAAATTAGATGAAAATTTTGGTAAATGATCGAAGATGGTCTAAGGATTGGAGTGTTCCATACTAGATCACTCTTTTAACCAAATCAAATTTAATGAAAAAGAAGGTAAGGATTGGAGACACTCCCAATATTTTCATCAAATTTAGAAATTCGATGAATAAAGAACTAAAAGTGAGCTCCAATCATTTCATCAAAATTTTCACAAAATCAAGATTAAACCAAATCCTTCACCAATCTCCAACAGTCATATTTATACTCAAATTTGACAAAATTTTTAAAAGAGTACGGATTGGAGATGATTTTCTTTCATCAAAAATGGTTAAATCAGGTTTTAGGATAAGTCTGTAATTTTTCAAACAAATTGATGAAGAAAAAAAGAAAAGAAAAAGAGTAACCAAAATTTCACTCAAATTTGACGGGAAAAAAAAAAGAAAGGAATGGAGATACTCTAAACTATGTATTCAAAAGATGCTGAACATGTTTGATATGAGAGAGAATTCATACAAGTTTGTGAGCCAGACGCAGGCTGAACGAAGGGCTAATGCAAGCGATGGCGAAATGCGGTCGGAGGGGCTCCGAGAGAACCTCATTAACAACCTCTTTCACCGCATCCTATTAATAACAACATTTTTAAGTTCAATATACACGAATCCAAATCCGCCGTTTGGTTGCTGAGAAAATAAAAATAAAAATAAAAATAAAAACAGAAAAAAACACTCCCAATAGTTCTAACCGAGTAATTGACTGCAAAATTCAACTTTAATTTTATTTTATTTTGATCTTCTGTTTCCTTATCATTCCTACATTTTCTTGGGAAACAACCAAAGCCCCCAAAAAACAAAAACAAAAGTGTTAGGTTTAGGGTTAGGGTTAGGGTTGATTTACCCGAAGAGAAGGGTTGAGAGAGAAGGCGGAGGAGAGCTTGGGGCGAGAGAGGAGAAGGTTGCAGAGGGAGTTCCAGGAGCGGCTAACGCACGCCGCGGATGCGAAGGATAAAGCTGGAAGCCTGGAGAGAATGTTCTGGAGAAGATATTCGCCTATGAGATCGATACTGCTAGTACTCTGCTCCTGTCTCTGTCTCTGTCTCGTCATTGCTGATCGTTCGCTCGTCTTAGGCGGTGGTGGTGCTGACGGCGGCTTCAGTTATCGCCTTCAATCCAGTCCGGGTTTTGGGAACACGGCTTCTAGCCACTTTTTTTAGGTTTATAGCGAAAGTCAGGCCAAGTTTGGCATATATATCAAAAGCCACCTAACCACAAACTCTCCAGCTTCCCAGGGCGAAGGCCACAGCCAAGCCTGTTATCAGCCATGCTGTGCCTTAGTACCTAGCCCAAGGGGGCTTCCTTAGTCCTGCTTGTGCAACTAAGGCAGGTCCATGACTTGGGTAATAGAAATGGAGTACGTTATGTTCGGGCTACCTGCTTCCATCTTCGCGGAATTGTCGCGGTAAACTGGTATTTCTGGGTCTGTTATTAGCTCCAACCAGTAAATTTTGGGGCCTGTCATTAGCGCCAAGTTAAATGAACTTTGGGGAGGAGGATCTGCTAGCAGCCCTAAGCTAGTAATGCCTTGGGACCTACTATTAGCGCCAAACATTAGCCTCTACTTGGAGAGGGAAGCCTCTTTCAAAAGCTACTATCACCTTGGCAGGGTATCCCCTCTGCACCTTAGTTGCTGTGGTAGTCATTTCCCACGGCAAGTTCAGACAACAAGACTGAAGATATTAGAGATGGCGGCGCCGACAAAGTACCTCCGCAACTTTACCGTTGCACATGTTCTCTCTGCAACTTCACCGCTACAGGTGTTGCTTCTACAACTTGACTTGGACATTTTCTTTCGTGGAGTCTGCTTGGACCATTGGCGGGTCAGATCTTTTAAATTGTTTGAACCTACTTATTTGAACTGTTTGAACTTTTTAGTGGTCGACTGGTAAGGCAAATATATATATATATATATATATATTTTTGAATTGTTTGAACCAACCCATTTGAACTATTTGAACCTTTTAGTGGTCAACCGGTTGGTCAAACCGGTTGGCAACTGGCTGGTTGACCGGTTCAGCTCTTCCAACGGTCAGAAACAGTAATTTGGTAAAATCTGCAGCTTATTCTCACTTTGATGAATTTTTTGGTGAATTCTCAATTTGATACCGATTTAGTGCAACCGTTGGAGTACCAAACAGTGACTTTTTCACCAAAATTCAAATTTAATGTCAAGTTTGGTGAATGGTCTTAGAATGTGTGAGACCCCCGTTGGGTGACTCCCAAGCCCTTTAGTGGGGCATGATTGGTCCATATTTTCTTTTATTTTTTCTTTAAATCCAATGACCAACCCCACGTGTGTTGAGGGGTGCTTGGAGACTAAGGGATCTCCAGCACGACTGCTTTTTTAATGCGAGTGTTTTAGTGACAAAGTTAATAAATTGTTAAAAAAATCAAAAAGTTCATAATTTATATAAAATAAAACAAAAAAATTGTGTATATTTTTTCATAAAAAATTAAAATATCATTTTAAATATATTAATTTTTTATTTATATTTTAGTCAAAAAAATTAAAAAATTATTAAAATCAAACGAGACCTAACTTATCGTTTGGTTAGAGTTTTTTTGTTGACTTTTTTCTAATATCGTTTGGTTAGAGTTTTTTTGTTGACTTTTTTCTAAATTAAAGTTTTTTTAGTTTGGGATTAAAAATTTTGTTTAGATTGATTTTTTTGGTTTTTTTTAAAATTTTTGTAAAAAAAGAGTTAAATGACTAATGTTTAGAAATAATATTTTATTTTATTGACTTATTTAACTTATTTTATCTTTTGTATTTTTTAATCCCAACTTCTTTTGCCAAACGAAACCTATGCTACTTTTTATATTTTTTTCTTTTATTAAAATTTAAATCGATAAAATTAAAGAGTTTGGAAATGATTTTTTTAATTTTTTTTAAAGGAAAATTACATTTTAGTGGGACATAAATTTTTTTTACATAAATATGGAAGATTACAAGACGCACTTGCACCTCACAATATTTCACTTACACCCCATCACAAAATTACTTAGGTTTGTTTTGGGAAGCGGGTTGGTTTTTTGATTTTTTAACTATTTTAGCTTGTAGCTAAAAAGTCTCGTTTTGGAATGACTTTTTTGTTTTTTTGACTTTTTGCGAGAGAAATAATGGAATGATTATGGGTTGGATGTGATATTTTTGGAAAATTCTATTTCCACCCACCTAATAAACTCAGGGCAAATTTTTTCTCAATACACATCCCTATTAATTTAATTATTAACTAATTTTCTCAATCCACATCCTTAAAATTACTATTAAATCCTTCACTCATAACATGTACACACACTTTACCCTCAAATACACACATTTTAATTGATCCCAATTTACATTTCTAGTTTCACCCACTTTGGTTCAGACCAAAGTGACTTGGTTCACAAGAAAAAAAAGACTTCGTTCAACCAGGAAAAAAAAAAAACTTTGCACTTTCCTCTCCTCCATTGAAGACTTTGAAGAGCTCCATTGAATTTCTACTAAACACTATTGAAAACCTTATTTAAGGTAAGAAATCTTTTCATTTTATTATTATATTTATCATTTTGTTATTAAAATGACCATTTTCGGATATCTCTTTACTCCATGGGCGTAAAAGCATCGGTTTTTCCGTTGCTGGGTTTACTGTGTGGATCTCGGCACTGGGTGTCTGAATCCGTGTGTTTAAATCGGCACTTAGTCATCGAATAATATGTATAATTTCGTTCAATTAGGACCGAACAAAATACATAATTTCGCACTTTGATTTCCGAATATATTCTATATTTTCGGTTCTATTGTTCTGAATAAATGCAATAATTTTGGTACTTAATTTCAGAAATATTTATTAGTGTTCAAAACTGAAGTTCTGAATGGTTTTTTTTTTTTTTTAAATATATGATATAGAAATTTACACTAGGTTACATAGGTCACCAAGATTGGTTTTACTTTAAGTTCTTTTCTAACAATTTTATTTTATGGGTATGTTTATGTATTTATTTTTTTTCCCAAAATTGAATGCATAACAATAAAAACAAAAATCTGTGCAGTATTGGTATTTCCACATGATATTGTTAGCTTAGTAGTTGGGTCTTCATAAATTTTGTTAGCTAAATAGCTGAACAAAACAATTGTATTATATAGAATATTAAAGCTTGAGTTATTTTGCCTTTGGGGTTTGTCATTTCAAAGCATGGAAATTGGTGCCAAATTTGGTTTTTGGTTGTATACTTACAGCTACAACAAGTTTACAGCTACAACAAGTTTACAATCAATGGCATGTACAAAGACAAGCAATCCTTTGATTGCTTGAAAAATGATGTTGGTATTGATTAATGACCATGTTGCCTCGGTAAATTGGCCGAAATGAAGTTAATCTGTTTTTCACATGTTGTGAACATCAACCAAACTAATTGGTGAATGATCTGTATAGAATACAAATAGTTTTGCTATATCCATGTTTACATTGTAATTTTTATCTAATTAATTCAAGGCAATTTTTTTTTTTTAATACACACACCTGTTAATTTGATTATTAATTAATTTTCATAATCCACACTTTCAAAATTACAATTATATCTTTCACTCATAACCACACTTTACCTTCAAATCCACACACTTTAATTGACTCTAATTCACATTTCTAGTTCCACCCACAAAAGTGAAAACCAAACTGACTTCGTTCAATAAAAAAAAAATGTCTTTTGAACTTTCCTCACCTCCATTGAAGACCTCGAAGACATCCATTGAACCTCCATTAAAAACTATTGAAAATCCTTATTTAAGTTAAGAAATCTTTCCATTTTATTATAACATTTATCATTTTGTTATTACATTTACCATTTTCGGATATCTCTGCACTCTATTGGCATAAAACCATTGATTTTTCCCTTGCTAGTCACGGTTTGGAGCTCTCAGCACTGGTTGTCCGAATTTGTTTGTTTAATTCAAAACTTAATCACCAAATAATCTATATAATTTCGACCAATTAGATCCGAACAAAACACAAACTTTCAAAGTTTGTTTGCTGAATCTGATACATAGTTTCGGTTCGGTAGTTCCGAATTAATGCAATACTTTCGGCAATTGATTTTCGAAATCTTTGTGTTTATTCAGCATTGAAGTTCCGAATGAATGCTTTTTTTTTTCTTTTTTTTTTAATGATATATAAATTTACACAAAGCTACATAGGCCATCAAAACTGGTTTTACTTTAAGTTCTTTTCTAACAATTTTATTTTATGGGTATGTTTATGTATTTATTTTTTTTCCCAAAATTGAATGCATAACAATAGAAACAAAAATCTGTGCAGTATTGGTATTTTCACATGATATTGTTAGCTTAGTAGTTGGGTCTTCATAAATTTTGTTAGCTAAATAGTTGAACAAAACAATTGCATTATATAGAATATTAAAGCTTAAGTTATTTTGCCTTTGGGGTTTGTCATTTCAAAGCATGGAAATTGGTGCCAAATTTGGTTTTTGGTTGTATACTTACAGCTACAACAAGTTTACAATCAATGGCATGTACAAAGACAAGCAATCCTTTGATTGTTTGAAAAATGATGTTGGTATTGATTAATGACCATGTTGCCTCAGTAAATTAGCCGAAATGAAGTTAATCTTTTTTTCGCATGTTGTGAACATCAACCAAACTAATTGGTGAATGATCTGTATAGAATACAAACAGTTTTGCTATATCCATGTTTACATTGTAATTTTTCAACAAATCCTTGTCTAAATCTTTCATAAGTAGTAGGGTTATGTATCTAACTTATTTTGTTAATTTCACATCATCCAAATTATGAATTTAATGGCTTATAACTACGTATTAGATTTCATTAAGGTAGCATGGTTAGGCTATTTATTACCCGCATTGATGTGATTATTTCCTAGGAGTGCTTATTCTGTTTCATTATATTGAGTTGATGAGAACAACTTTACTTATGCAGATGGATGTTGATCCTCGTGAATGTCGGTCAGTAACAGCTTTGAACAGAAGACTCCATGAATTAGAGAGACGTGGACATGAACGTGCTCGAGTGCATGATGATGACACGCACATTGCCATGGATGATGATCCTATACATGGTGCACTAGTTATGGATGATATTGCTATGGATAGTGACCCTACTAGTGATGATGCTGACATTGTTGATGAAGACATCCTTACTCAGTCATTTTCGGGAGGGCCAACTGATCCATCAATCCTTAAAAGTTTTAAAAGTCATGTTGCCGCAGCTATTTGGAATGGTGGATGAAAGGGGGCCCTTGAAATGTCATAATCACTCATCTAAGATTCGTTCGTGGCCGTGGTGAGAACAAGGAAACAACGCTTCATTTGTAAACATTGTGGAAATGTCAGGACTTGCAGAATTAGCTCGTTGCACGTATTGCTTTGTCAACAAAATTGTAGTATCTAGTTTTGTTGAGAGATGGCAACCGGAGACAAACACCTTCCATTTGACAGTTGGAGAGATGACTATCACATTGGATGATATCGCCACTATCCTAGGGCTTCCTATTGTAGGCAAATCTATTAGTGTACGTAAGTTGTCAGAAAGGCGGGCCATTGCATTAGTAGTTAATACCTTGGAAATTGATGAGCAAGACATCAGACATGAGATGTGTAGTGCTGGAGGCAATTCAGTGAGGCTTGAGTGGTTGAGGACACACTTTCATAATATCACAGACAATGATTCAATGGAAATAATTGCATGTGCAGGTAGAGCATACTTGCTATTTTTGTTAGGCTGTACACTTTTCAGTGACAAGACTTGTACTAGGGTCCCCGTTGTTTATTTGAGTTTGTTGTCCGATTTGACGACTATATCTTCATATGCTTGGGGTGCTGTTATATTGGCATACTTATATAGACATACGCTAGCAGGTCCGATGTGAAACAAATAGCCGGTTACATGACACTTCTTGAGGGATAGATTTATGAGCACTTTCGTGGATTCCGACCACACTTGAATATGAATTACACTCTAGACATGCCATATGTTTACCGTTGGACTTCTTAGAGAGAGTCTGGTGAAGTGACACAAGTACAAGCTTTTCGAGAGGAGCTTGATAGGTTGGGTGTACATGATGTAAGTTGAAAAGTCCTTCAAAATTTGAAACTTTATATCATACAAAATTTACAGTTGTCATATCTTACAGTTATTATTGTTTGTAGGTTATTTAGGACTCGTACTAGAGTTGCAGAGATGTCCATCCGCGTCATCCGGTTACATTCTACTACGGTTGCTTAAAGTGTTTGGAAGTAATTGAACTATATCACCCTGATAGAGTTTTGAGACAGTTTGGCAGAGTGCAAACAATCCCGAATCCACCACTTGGCCCTATGTGTGCTTCTCGAGGAGCCACAACTCCACGCTACAATGTTATGTATGCATACTTGGACATCATTTGAGAGACATGGGACAACCATGTGTTATCTAATCCGATGAGGGGTACACCGGAACGGCAACCTTGGGATTGTGTTCCTGGTTACTTGGATTGGTACCAAACCATTACCCATATATATGTACAAAACCCAACGCATCGTTCCCAAGTGAACCCGAATATCCGTCATTATCAGTATCCTAGCCAAGACGCACAGGTATCCTTTTTTTCATTTACATTGCAAATTATTTATGTAAACTGTTACAAGTTTGTATATAATGTTATATTTGTTCTCGTAATGCAACGTATGTCACAGATATATCAGATTACTCATCCTTTCGTTGAGGTTGGCTATGAGGACAGTGTTCAACATCCTGATAGACTTTACTACGCAATTGATGCAATCGAACAACTTCTTCAAGATCATCACATTAGTGAAGCTGCACCCAGTACATCCACTCAGGGTCGGTCTGCACCCAGCTCTTCTACGGCATATCGTTTTGGAGCACATTACACTCGCCGGTCACGTAGTTAATAGTAGTTCATAATGTTAGCACAAGTAGTTTCTAATGGTGTTGGTGGATGTATAAAAAGACAAATATTATTATTATCTTCGGATTTATTTTTTGGATTATGTACAAACACACATGTAGTTTGTGATGGTGCGGATGGATTGAACTACTATTTATTTTATTTTATTTTATTTTACATACTTGTTTAATCTTATTACTTTTTAACAGCAGTTGCACTTGGTTAATATTATTTTCATTACGTTTTATGTTCAGACAATGTAAAAATAATATGACATCCATTCCATAAATTAGAGAACTATAACGCATATAATATTCTATTTTTTAAAAAAAACTGACCATTACAAAATTCAATGGCAAAATGATATCTACCTCGTTGCTCCATGCTAGTAAATCATAAAAACTAATGTCTTAAAGCTGTCATTACTACTCTGTAATACATCAATCTATGTCAACTACATCAAATGTCTCTCAAGTAACTACATTAGGTCCTATGTTGTCTTTGAATTTTTGAATGCGACTAACATATGCATTCTCCCATTCTGATGCACGAGGGTGATGGTGAACTTGCCAAAGCACGGCAATGGGAGGAATTGGATGACCGGCTTCCAAAAATACCTACACGTACATCCAACAAATTGCATATCTTTACCAAATATATAAAATTTGCAATTACACAAATATTAGACAACAATGTTTGGTTATTTTCATAACTTATACCTGCACAAAATGATTTCCATTGACAAATCCAATGGCAATCTCGTGACGATCAACTAGGGTTATTGGCGGTGATCTCAAAGATAAGAAAGTGAGATATTGTTGCAATGACAAGTGGTACAAGACTACATTATAAAATGATGCAATAAGATGTCTCATGTCAAGCATAGTCATCCAACGATCAAAGCCTGGGCTATCTTCAAAATATAAAAGAATATGTGTCAACTCCTCAACCCTCTCATGCGACCCATATAGTATGATGTATTTATCTCTGTGATTATTCAATTCAAGTAGCAAATCACGCCTAACTTGCACCCAGTCATTCTCTCCAAGACCAAGTAAACTTGCAATAGCTCTAAATCCACAACTCCCATCACCATCTACATCCTTCATCAATTTTATGAATGGTATTAACATAGGCGGGAAGTCACCGGCATATGCACTCGGTAAACTTGTTCTTGTACGATATGTCTTTGTCTTTACATCCCGCTTCTTCTCATGCACTTTTGAAGCTTTCTTTTTCTTTGACTGACTAGAAGCTAATGTGCTCTGGCTATCATGTACATCGTCAACCAACTTAAATGCACACGGGTCACGACGACAAGATATATCAATTTTCTTATGTCCTCGACGTGGATTAGGTTTCACATTAGGCTCAATAAGAAAAGTGCTAGTTGGATTTGCAATTTCCCTCAACTCTTTCAATATATTCAATTGCGTGGCAATATCAGACTCTTTGAACCGCTTCAAAATCAATTCAAGTTTTGGGATACAAGTCAATTCCAACTTCTCAACCTTCAGATTATGCACACATATAGTAAGTGGCGTCCAATGTACATGTATGCTACTGAATGGAATAGGACGGCCTTGTCTCATATAATCTGCAATCTTGTGAGTACAAGGTAAATCATGTGTGCGCCTAAGAACACACCCACGTGTTGCAACATTAATTCCAACTGAATTTGCTCTCTTACTCTCTGCCAATATGTACTCCAATGCACAAATAGACACATTGTGTGAGACCCCCGTTGGGTGACTCCCAAGCCCTTTAGTGGGGCATGATTGGTCCATATTTTCTTTTATTTTTTCTTTAAATCCAATGACCAACCCCACGTGTGTTGAGGGGTGCTTGGAGACTAAGGGATCTCCAGCACGACTGCTTTTTTAATGCGAGTGTTTTAGTGACAAAGTTAATAAATTGTTAAAAAAATAAAAAAGTTCATAATTTATATAAAATAAAACAAAAATTTTGTGTATATTTTTTCATAAAAAATTAAAATATCATTTTAAATATATTAATTTTTTTATTTATATTTTAGTCAAAAAAATTAAAAAATTATTAAAATCAAACAAGACCTAACTTATCGTTTGGTTAGAGTTTTTTTGTTGACTTTTTTCTAAATTAAAGTTTTTTTAGTTTGGGATTAAAAATTTTGTTTAGATTGATTTTTTTGGTTTTTTTTAAAATTTTTGTAAAAAAAGAGTTAAATGACTAATGTTTAGAAATAATATTTTATTTTATTGACTTATTTAACTTATTTTATCTTTTGTATTTTTTAATCCCAACTTCTTTTGCCAAACGAAACCTATGCTACTTTTTATATTTTTTTCTTTTATTAAAATTTAAATCGATAAAATTAAAGAGTTTGGAAATGATTTTTTTAATTTTTTTTAAAGGAAAATTACATTTTAGTGGGACATAAATTTTTTTTACATAAATATGGAAGATTACAAGACGCACTTGCACCTCACAATATTTCACTTACACCCCATCACAAAATTACTTAGGTTTGGTTTAGGAAGCAGGTTAGTTTTTTGACTTTTTGACTATTTTAGCTTGTAGCTAAAAAGTCTCATTTTGGAATGACTTTTTTGCTTTTTTGACTTTTTGCGAGAGAAATAATAGAATGATTATGGGTTGGATGTGATATTTTGGGGAAATTCTATTTCCACCCACCTAATAAACTCAGGACAAATTTTTTCTCAATACACATCCCTATTAATTTAATTATTAACTAATTTTCTCAATCCACATCCTTAAAATTACAATTAAATCCTTCACTCATAACATGTACACACACTTTACCCTCAAATACACACACTTTAATTGATCCGAATTTACATTTCTAGTTTCACCCACTTTGGTTCAGACCAAAGTGACTTGGTTCACAAGAAAAAAAAGACTTCGTTTAACCAGGAAAAAAAAAAAAAACTTTGCACTTTCCTCTCCTCCATTGAAGACTTTGAAGAGCTCCATTGAATTTCTACTAAACACTATTGAAAACCTTGTTTAAGGTAAGAAATCTTTTCATTTTATTATTACATTTATCATTTTGTTATTAAATTGACCATTTTCGGATATCTCTTCACTCCATTGGCGTAAAAGCATCGATTTTTCCCTTGCTGGGTTTGCTATGTGGATCTTGGCACTGGGTGTCCGAATCCGTGTGTTTAAGTCGGCACTTAGTCATCGAATAATATGTGTAATTCCGTTCAATTAGGACCGAACAAAATACATAATTTCGCACTTTGATTTCCGAATATATTCTATATTTTTGGTTCTGTTGTTCCGAATAAATGCAATAATTTTGGTACTTAATTTCAGAAATATTTATTAGTGTTCAGAACTGAAGTTCCGAATGGTTTTTTTTTTTTTTTTAATATATGATATAGAAATTTACACTAAGTTACATAGGCCACCAAGATTGGTTTTACTTTAAGTTCTTTTCTAACAATTTTATTTTATGGGTATGTTTATGTATTTATTTTTTTTTTTTGTGCGTACTTCAATATATAACAATAGAAAAAAAAAATCTGCGCAATATTGGTACTTCCATATTATATTGTTAGCACACGTAGTTGTTATTGCTATATCGCTTGATGACTACAATTTGACTATTTGATTATATATTTGTTAGTGTTTTCATTATAAATGCTACATTGGATTGATGAGAACAACTTTCCTTATGCAAATGGATGCCGGTCCCAGTCAACGTCAGTCAGTAACTAGGGATGGTATTAAAAAATATCACCCCCCGATCCCGATTTGAGCGGTTTTTTTCCAAAAAATATCCCCAGCGGGGCGGGGATGGTATTCAAAAATTAATTCCCAATCAATTTCGGGCCAGGGACGGGGATAAGTGTCCCAGCCCCGTCCCGTCCCCATCCCCGTTTTATCCCCGAAGTGAAATTACTCTTTTACCCCTCTATATATATATATATATATAAACCAAACCTATTTTTTAGTTTCACTTCATCTGTGTCTCTCTCTCTCACCGTGGCTCTCATCTCCCTCTTCCTCACTTACTGACTCAAATCCCAGTCTCATCTCTCTCCCTCCCTCTCATCTCCCTCTTCACCTCCCTCTCCCTCTCCCTCCATCCGTCAGATCCCTCCGTCCGTGAAGCCTTCCGTCCGTCAGATCATGAAGCCCTCCATCAGATCGTGAACCCTCCGTCTGAACAGATCTGAAGAAGAAGAAGCCCTCTGTCTAGGAAGCCGGTCCTAGTGAACGTCGGTCAGTAACAGCTTTGAACAGAAGACTCCATGAATTAGAGAGACGTGGACATGAACGTGCTCGAGTGCATGATGATGACACGCACATTGCCATGGATGATGATCCTATACATGGTGCACTAGTTATGGATGATATTGCTATGGATAGTGACCCTACTAGTGATGATGCTGACATTGTTGATGAAGATATCCTTACTCAGCCATTTCCGGAAGGGCCAACTGATCCATCGATCCTTAAAAGTTTTAAAAGTCATGTTGCCGCAGCTATTTGGAATGGTAGATGAAAGGGGACCCTTGAAATTTCATAATCACTCATCTAAGATTCGTTCGTGGCCGTAGTGAGAACAAGGAAACAACGCTTCATTTGTAAACATTGTGGAAATGTCAGGACTTGCACAGTTAGCTCGTTGCACGTATCGCTTTGTCAACAAAATTGTAGTATCCAGTTTTGTTGAGAGATGGCAACCGGAGACAAACACCTTCCATTTGACAGTTTGAGAGATGACTATCACATTGGATGATATCGCCACTATCCTAGGGCTTCCCATTGTAGGCAAATCTATTAGTGTGCGTAAGTTGTCAGAAAGGCGGGCCATTGCATTAGTAGTTAATACCTTGGAAATTGATGAGCAAGACATCAGACATGAGATGTGTAGTGCTGGAGGCAATTCAGTGAGGCTTGAGTGGTTGAGGACACACTTTCATAATATCACAGACAATGATTCAATGGAAATAATTGCATGTGCAGGTAGAGCATACTTGCTATTTTTGTTAGGCTGTACACTTTTCAGTGACAAGACTTGTACTAGGGTCCCCGTTGTTTATTTGAGTTTGTTGTCCGATTTGACGACTATATCTTCATATGCTTGGGGTGCTGCTATATTGGCATACTTATATAGACATACGCTAGCAGGTCCGATGTGAAACAAATAGCCGATTACATGACACTTCTTGAGGGATGGATTTATGAGCACTTTCGTGGATTCCGACCACACTTGAATATGAATTACACTTTAGACATGCCACATGTTTACCGTTGGACTTCTTAGAGAGAGTCTGGTGAAGCGACACAGGTACAAGCTTTTCGAGAGGAGCTTGATAGGTTGGATGTACATGATGTAAGTTGAAAAGTCCTTCAAAATTTGAAACTTTATATCATACAAAATTTACAGTTGTCATATCTTACAATTATTATTGTTTGTAGGTTATTTAGGACCCGTACCAGAATTGCAGAGATGTTCATCCGTGTCATCCGGTTACATTCTACTACGGTTGCTTAAAGTGTTTGGAAGTAATTGAACCATATCACCCTGATAGAGTTTTGAGACAGTTTGGCAGAGTGCAAACAATCCCTAATCCACCACTTGGCCCTATGCGTGCTTCTCGAGGAGCCACAGCTCCACGCTACAATGTTATGTATACATACTTGGACATCATTTGGGAGACATGGAACAACCATGTGTTATCTAATCCGAGGAGCGGTACACCGGAACGGCAACCTTGGGATTGTGTTCCTGGTTACATGGATTGGTACCAAACCATTACCCATATGTATGTACAAAACCCAGCGCATCGTTCCCAAGTGAACCCGAATATCCATCATTATCAGTATCCTAGCCAAGACGCACAGGTATCCTTTTTTTCATTTACATTGCAAATTATTTATGTAAACTGTTACAAGTTTGTATATAATGTTATATTTGTTCTCGTAATGCAACGTATGTCACAGATATATCAGATTACTCATCCTTTCGTTGAGGTTGGCTATGAGGACAGTGTTCAACATCCTGATAGACTTTACTACGCAATTGATGCAATCGAACAACTTCTTCAAGATCATCACATTAGTGAAGCTGCACCCAGTACATCCACTCAGGGTCGGTCTGCACCCAGCTCTTCTACGGCATATCGTTTTGGAGCACATTACACTCGCCGGTCACGTAGTTAATAGTAGTTCATAATGTTAGCACAAGTAGTTTCTAATGGTGTTGGTGGATGTATAAAAAGACAAATATTATTATTATCTTCGGATTATGTATTTTTTGGATTATGTACAAACACACATGTAGTTTGTAATGGTGCGGATGGATTGAACTACTATTTATTTTATTTTATTTTATTTTACATACTTGCTTAATCTTATTACTTTTTAACAGCAGTTGCACTTGGTTAATATTATTTTCATTACGTTTTGTGTTCAGATAATGTAAAAATAATATGACATCCATTCCATAAATTAGAGAACTATAACGCATATAATATTTTATTTTTAAAAAAAAACTGACCATTACAAAATCCAATGGCAAAATGATATCTACCTCGTTACTCCATGCTAGTAAATCATAAAAACTAATGTCTTAAAGCTGTCATTACTACTCTGTAATACATCAATCTATGTCAACTACATCGAATGTCTCTCAAGTAGTTACATTAGGTCCTATGTTGTCTTTGAATTTTTGAATGCGACTAACATATGCATTCTCCCATTCTGATACACAAGGGTGATGGTGAACTTGCCAAAGCACGGCAATGGGAGGAATTGGATGACCGGCTTC